GATATGAAAGCCTCCACAATGGATTACGTAGCAGGTCCCGATTCGTTTATTGCTCGACCAAAATTACTTAGAAGATATATGCAACCAATTATGTTTAGGATGATGAAGAACTGGTCGTTTAAGTTTCCCACAATGATATGACTAGGCTTTACGCTTTCAATGTATTAGCCGTAGCCTTGCTGCTCAAAAGGCATACATGAAAAATTACTCACGAAATCATACAATGATCTATATCATCAAAGTATTGATAAAGAGTTAATGAACTATGTAAATGTAGATATAAAGATCAAGATGGTGTGGCCTTTTATTTTGTCGCAGTCTCCTTTATGAATGCACTTTTGTGGATGTACCCAGCCAATGGTCCAATGCTGAAAATCACGAATACTATGACAGAGGACACGGAATTATGTACGTGTCACAAGGTCTCACTGACACTCCAACCGAGTTGCAAAAATAAGGTGGAACCACCACTACATAAATGCATTTTATGGCCTTTTTAAGTCTGTGAAAAAACCAACGATGTACTGGGTAGAAATAAAAAATGAAGCTTATCCAGTATGATCACAGTGGCCTCAAGTGAAGAAGGAGGGGAGGAAGCATGTCTGCTACCTCAATTATGCAATACTATAACGAAGATCTTTTAGAATCTGCTCTTCAGGAAAAGCAAGCAAACTCATGGTCATCGGCAAATGCGACAGGTTCTGCATCCGTCCTAATAATCACATCAATAACAATATGACTGAGAAACCTCCTGCTCTCCATTCACACGTAATACTATTTGAGCGCATTAACTGTGAGCATTTATGCTGATTAGTTTAATTGACGATTTCAAGCCTAATGACCCTCAATCCCAAACCTCTTCAAACGATTATTCGTAGGCATGTAATGATAGGACTGGACATAGACGAAGTTACTAGAGCGACGTATCGGTGGGACGTGACAGAGTGTACCGATTTCCCGCATGGTTGGCTCTACCGAAATATGTAAAAATAAATCATCATAAGCCGCACAAACATTGAATACCAGAATATTATACGCAAATATCGAGCCTAAATAACAACGATTCAAGAAGTGTCTAGTGAACATATGAGACAATCAAAATCATGGGAAATATAGTGAAAATCATAATCTGGGTCTTATTCAGCTGTCTATGAGCTGGCCTGCAAACTTAAGTTTACAAAAAAACTCTTGAGCTTCAATTTTATTGTCTCAAGGGGGTCGGGAATCCCGTAGAATACTTTGGATTTTGTCAGTCTCATGCTTAATCATACTTCATAACTTGCCAGAATAAGATATAAAACTCGTATGGCTCTCATAAGAAGTTTCTTAATGGGCGTATAAAAGTGAAAATATGAAGAATATAAAGTGAACGTCTTAGAAAGGAAACAGTATATCACAACAGAAAAATGCTAAGTTAATGTCAAGTTATTGGACAGTTTTAGGGTGACCAGGCGCTGTGCTACGACAAAACAAGAGGTATTTCAGGCGGAAGATTTTGATTTTTGTGTAGATAAGTGAGAAAGTATAGTCGTGCTGAGTCTTAGAGGAAATAATAAGCTAATAGAGCAGAGGACAGACACAACAATAAGAGGAAAGGAGAATATGGTTAATAATGCCAGAATGCAGAATGCGTTGCAGAGTGACAGCTCTGAATGGCCTCAAGCTCTATGCTGTAAATGGAAATGAATGTTTGAAATTTTCCCAATAATAAATGAGCCCGTAACTCTGTTTTAGCCGATCCAAATAAAGAATTACATCTAGACAGTTAGAGCGGAAGCATCAATCAATCAACTGTATAGCAGCAAAGAGGCTAGTAAAAGGGGGATTTGCGCTTGACTAAAGCAGAGACACGCTATAATATAAAAATGATGCTTATAGACTTAGCGCCAGTTCATCATAAGCATCATCATAATTTTGCTGAGCCAACTGTGGAAAGAGCAAAGTTAACGTATAATCTATACCCAATAAGCACTCTCGCTATAACCCGAATAGCTTCTCTAAGTAAGCCCGTATACAAATGAGCTCCAGACTATGCAGGAAATTAGAGCTAAGTAATAAATATGCGTTAACGAGCCTAAAGCAACATTCAAAAATGTAGTATAGTAAGAGAAGCTCCCTTTTAAATTTAGGCCTAGAAATAACTTCCAGACTAAATCCAGTTTGGAAGTTAGCAACAGAAATGCAGTTTGAATAAAGAGGAGCCTTAACTTTATGGGAGCATAATTCATAATATCCCTTTTAGGCAAGTACCAAGACCATTCGACTATCCTTTCTATGGAACTGATTTTATTTTCTCCCATTTTAGTTAAAATGAAAAAAGGATTTTCACATCTAGACAATATAAACTCAATCAATGCCAGGATCAATCACATTAGACCTTCGGTTGTCATATTGCGTTTAACAGCTGTCTTCATATAATGATGCAATTCATCAAAAAATAAAACAGGAGATATGGGATATAAATTTAATACGAACCCCAGCAAATTTGATGAAACACGCGATAATAGAACTAAAGTTGATTCTACCGTAATCCATTATAGTCCAGCCAGCTATGCCCCACAAAAGATAAAATGTAGCTCGGGAGGACACATAGTCGTGGCGAGAGAAAATAAGTGAAATAAATGGTTCAAAGGAAAAAGATAAATTCTAATAAGGAGAAGGCAACAAAAGCCTACTACGTGATAGCCAAGAAATATTCCATTAAAATAACTTTGCCTGGTGGGTTTTCATAAGAGAAATCTGATAAAGTTAGGCTCTGTTTACGATTATTTATCTATAATGCTGATATAGATGATAGATGATGAAGATATATAGATATATATTTTTTATATAGGGAAAATAAAAAGATTGAATAATAAAAACTTGCGAATAGGCACATTAAACAGAACGATAGTCAAATTAAGTCAGCGAAAACAAAAAGACGGAGATGAAGTATGAGCACTAGAAAGAAGGAAAATACAGATGGATAAAAGTAAAGATAAAGACAGAGAAATATGAAGTAAAACATCTAGCTTCAGTATAAATAGTTTTCGAGACTAACCTAAATAGCCAATTTGGATAGCGAGTCGAGTCAGCTTGGCCTGCAAAACTGACTTTTCTTTGATCCTGATCCTTTTTCGCTTTTGCTCAGGTTTCCCAGTAGCAGCAGGCTTGCCAGCGGAGTTCAACTTAGCCTCGCCATCGGCCGTACTTGTTTCCATTATCCCAGAATTAAGCATTGGTTGTGCAGCTGCTATAATAAGAGAGTAAAGGAAATCAGAAGGAAGATGAGTCAATGTTGAATAGGCAAATGAGGTCAAATAAATAATTAAGATATGGAGAAATTAAAAGAGACTGGAAAATGTAAGCATTTCGTCTAATAGAAGAGATTTTGATGGCGTCAAACGAGACTAATAAGCTTAGAGCATTAAATAGGCGCAGCAAAATCTATCCATATAGCATTACTTGTTTGGGCACTTCATAAAGAAATAACAGTAAAAAACTGTGCCTAAAATGTATTTTGATCTCAAATTACAGCTAAAGAGAAAGAATAGCTTAGATATTAAGAACAAGGGGTAGACATACTGATGATGAAACCAAAAAAAAAATTCACTGCCAAAATAAAGAAAATTAGTTTGGAAATATGGACATTTAAGAAATCGTGATTCTTATCAGTCACATTCAAATTAAAAAATAAAATGTCTAAAACAAACAAGTCGTGCCGAAATTCCACCAAAATTCTATCAAAACCCCACGATGGATTTCGTTTGCTAATTTGTTTCTTCCATTTCTGAAAACAAAGCAGCTCCTGTAAGAATTTATTAGATCGATTGCTGAAATGTCA